AAAAAAAAAAAAAAAAAAAGATGAAGAACTGATGTTCAAAATTACTCAAGTACTCCAGGGTACTCAATCATAAAATATAAACATTATATTTACCATATACTACTTCCCCTGTTTTGAAAATAATTAATGGCATTTTATAAGATTTGGAACAAGAATATAAACAAAAGGAAACTTTTGTTAACTTAAATTTGGATTAGTGACAAAATTCAATTTGCAATTCATTTTCAGTTTTTCAAAAATTTTCTATTCAAATAATTTGGAATGACCCATTAATTACGTTCTTTGTATTGATCACAAACATTTGAAACTAAATGAAAAACACTGAATAAACATTATAGACCAGCATAAATGTTATCATCTCTTCATTATTAAAAACTCACCCTAAAATCCAATTATAATTACAGTTTAAAAATATTAAATACAGAAAATTAGAAACCTTAACTTCAATGTGTCAATAACCACAGTCTGGAATGAGATGTCTAATCTAAGAAGTATAAATATTTTCATTCAGAGAAAGAACAATAAGAAATTATTAGTTTCTTCTATTAATAAATTTGATGGCTCAAAATGTGGAAAGTAAAACTTTTTCTTTTTTTCTAAGATATTACCTCATAGGCTACAGAAATAAAAATATATATTACTGCTGAAGCGAATTTTTTCTAGTATGTTTCAGAAGTTCATTTGGAGCTGAGACACCTGAAATTCATAAACTGAACTCTTTTCTTGAAAAATATACTAAATGCAATTTTCATTTTCTTATATTCCAGCCTCTCAAATAAAATCTAAACACTAAAATTTAAATTTTAATTAAAAATGACTGCATTTGAAATAAACACAACTTGAGTTTTTATATTATACATACACTCAATATCTATATCAAGTAACTACTGCAGAATTTCATCATGTAATGGATACAATGTACTAACAGGTATACATATGTATCTTCATATGAAGTGCTAAAAGAACAGCTAGAATTTTTAAACAAATGTAGCATTAAATATTAAGATGATTATAAAAAGCACTATGGTCACTACTAATCCCTTATGCCTTACTTTTTGACTACTAATCAGTTTATTCAAATTTACCAAATGTGGCCAGGCACGGTGGCTCACGCCTGTAATCCCAGCACTTTGGGAGTCCAAGGTGGGGGGATCACTTAAGGTCAGGAGTTCAAGACCGGCCTGGCCAACATGGCGAAACCCCATCTCTACTAAAAATACAAAAAGTAGCCGGGCATGGTGGCAGGTGCCTATAATAATCCCAGCTACACAGGAGGCTGAAGCAGAAGAATGGCTTTAGCCTGGGGAGGTGAAAGTTGCGGTGAGCTGAGATCATGCGACTGCACTCTGGTATGGGCAACAAAGACAGACTCTATCTCAAAAAAAAAAAAAGTTATCAAATGTACACATCACTCACTTTCTCTCAAACTTCATCTAAAAAAAAAGTACTTAACAGAAAACTTAACAAAAATTTGTATGATAATCCAATATCTAACATTCAAAACATATAAATTGAATTTTAATAATATCCTAGATTTAATTTAAAACTACCAACTAAATTATGCATTATGTTCTCCCTGATATCCCATAACCCCCCAAAAAGCCCCTGAATATCCTATTTTATATGAAATAGGATGTCCTTCATGTCTCAAACCTACAAATCAAGAAATTCTTCCTAAACTTCAAATCAGTTTGCAAAGTTTTTACCTAAAAAAAAAAATGCATGACTAAGATGTATTTATCAAATTCCACATATTATAAAACAAATTTTTTTGTTTTAACCTAAAGTAGTTAAAATATGTATTTTAGTAATTCTAAATAAATGCTAAAAATAAGGTCCCTAACTATTTAAGCTTATTCTAGTTACTTTTCTGTTTCTGCTATTTGATAGTTTCAGAATTTTCTTCAATGAGCACACATCAATTTTATATTCCTTTAAAAAAAGACTCTTTGTAAACCAGGATAGGTAGTTACATTTCATAAATGAGAAGCAAAATAAGATGTCAGAATGAGAGGGGATAATCTTCTACTCAGGCAGCTTCATTCTACAACTCATTTTTCTAACAATATTATTAGATCCCACCATTCCTACAAGTCAGAGATATATAAAGGAGTACCAACAAGAGAGGAAGGAAGAATGCTGGTTATATCTCTAAGTTTATCGAAAACTTAGAAGAAAAGGACGTTAAACTATGAGTAAGATATCCAATACTAAAGATTTCTCCCTCCCTTCTATCTTTACAATGAATTTCACTTCAGAAAACGGAAGAATCAAATAATATACTTCCTTCTACAAATTCCCATAGACAATAGGCAACAAACAAACAGGAGGATGAGAAGGCTGGTTCTGATATCCATATCTAACTTATTTGTCCCCAGAACTAAAAATAAAATTCTACTTTAGTTGTCTGATTTATACATGTGTCTAAGTTGTTTTTTAAAAATAAAACAAAACAAAAAAGACATCAAGTAGCCACTGTAGTTCTCAGACCACCTACCTCTCCAGGGTGCAATCTATCCCAGTTTTCATTAATGTATGTCATAAGCTCAAGTTCAGAGTCAAAGTATTTCTTCTTATGAATAACACTTAGGTTGTAAAGGCATAGGTGTGCTATGTCTACCCTGGAATCCAAAAATAATCAAATACACAAAAACAATGTTTTTGGTTATGGTTAAGAAATCACAGTTTCTTAATAAAACAATAATTAAAATGTAAAATAAAATATATAGGTGGATAGTCATATTTACAATACTATAAATCACTACATATGAAAATAACTAGAAAATAGTGACTAAACATTCACTTATCCTGAAATAGCAACCATAAACTAGAAGATATATGAATTACTTCCTAAAATGCATTAAAGAGGATATGGCTTTAAAAAGATATAACTTAGAATCAAGATTTTTGTGTTTTCACTACTGGATACAAGCTACAGAATATACCATACTTAACCAAACTATCTGATTCATGGGTTATATCCTATCTATTCCTAAAATATGTAAACTAAAACAAAGATTTGTAAGTACTTACTGTAAGCATTTTTTTAGTAAACCTCTAAAATTAATAAGACTTCCAACACACAAGAATTATACTGAAGCAGAAATTAGCATATTTGTTATACCTATCTCTTTTCTACTGAATGCTCTTCTGAAGGTTCAAAAGAACTGGAAATATGAGTAAAAATTGTGAAGGTCTAAAGGATGTGTGAAAGTTACATTTATGCCATTCAACATTGAACAGCCTTATTACTTTAGCAATAAAAGTGGATATTACTTAGTGAAGATGGTATCAGGCATGAGGATAAATAAAAGAAATAAAGCCAAACATAAATAACCCATTTTTACTTAAGCCAACAAAATGCATATAGGAAGTTTCAACTTATAGGTTTAAAAATATGGCTTTTTTTTTCTTTTTTTTTTTCTAACAGAAAGGTCCACATTACCACTGTAATGGTAGACGTTTGAGGTATTCTGGTCCAGAACTGCAGACAGAGCATATAAACGTATAAAATCTGAGAAAAAAAAAGAAAAAGTTTTATGCTCAGTAATCAGGGATAAACTATTTAAAAATTATAGCTAATATTCACCAAGTGAATATCCTACAGCTGATATAAAGACTGATAATCAAAATGAAATATAATTTAAATTTTACCGCTATCTGTGATTGAGGAAAGTTCTTTTCCAATAACAACAAATAATGAAATAGTTCATATGTGAAGAGAAAGATCTTTTTTTTTAAACCACTGGAGACCTTCAAAGTTTATAGACAGACTCACATGTACTCATAGCTTACTAATAGCTTTTGTGTGCCAGCAACTATGATGGCTGCCCCCATATACATCATTTAATTCAATGTTTAAAATAACCTGATAAAACAAGCCCAAAGAGACAAGTGGAATTCCCTAAGGTCAGAAAGAAAATTAAGTGGCATAAGCCAAGATTTAAACCCAGGTTTTCAGATGTCTAATTTAGTGGTCCAGCTTTCTGTTCCTGGAGTTCACTGCACTACTCTGCATTCTTCTAATATAGAAAGTACATTGAGTCTGCTTTTAGAAATTCTTTATTTCTAAGATATACGTTGTGTCTTTAACAAGGCCTGTGGTCTTTTCTCTGCAATAACAGCCCTCTGAGGTTCTTTAAAGGAACCTCAATGAGAATACATCACAGTACTGTGGGTCAACAGGAGCAAATGGAATTACTGACAATACCTAAAAGCCTTCTGGAATAAAATCCAAAAGCACAAAAATTATGTATATTTTAAGTATATCACTCAATTAGGTATATACGTTACATTATCATTAAAATTCATATCAATTATGTATATATTAAGTATATCATTCAATTATTTTCCCTCTGAGACAACCCTTTTACCAATCATTGTTGAAACTATCTTTAGAAATCTGAAGTCACAAACATAACCACAATTAAAAAGACAAAAATCAGCCAGTAAAGTTCAAATGCCCTTCTCACCTGTCTCCAAACAGCATTGGCTTTTGAAGGCATTGCACACAAGCCTCATGAAACCACTGCTTACATTTGCAGCACTGTAGCATCTTTAAATACCAGCTATTAAAAAAAAGAGAAAAGTTAACATTAAAATTTGTTTTAAGGAAAGGTTCATTTCTTAAAAACAACAACAAAGTGGCATAATCCACAATACTGTTCTAATTAAAGTATCACACTTCTACTTTACTTAATGTAAATATTTCCTTTCCCAAAAAGGCTTATAATATCAGCTATTTCATCTCTCTTCTCTCTTTGATTCATGAAATTTTATAAGCTCTTGAAAGATACAACTACTACCTTTAGTCAAAAATGCCTGGCTCCTACACTAGTTAAATGAGCTCTATTAAAACACAAGCCTAAGTGGTTTTTTTTTTGTTTTATTTTGTTTAAGAGGCAGGGTATTGCTATGTTGTCCAGGCTAGAGTGCACCATGGCTCATGCAGCCTCAACCTCCCAAGATCAAGCAACCCTCCCACCTCAGCCTCCCAAGTAGGCAGGACCACAGGCATGCACCACCAAGCTCAGTTAGTATATATACATTTTTTAAGCAGAACTGGGGTCCCTCTATGTTGCCCAGGCTGGTTTCCAATTCCTGGGCTCAGGTGATCCTCTGGCCTCAGCCTTCCAAAGTAGTAGGATTACATGTGTGAGCCACCATGCCCAGCCTCTGGGCTTTTGTTCACATCAACTCTCTAAACCCCAGGAGAGGTCAGATTCAGGGGTACTCTTGCTTGTCCCAAATATCAAATGGCCTTAGACAGCTTTCAGGTTATAAACATTCCATTTTATAGCTTTACTGTGTTTCTATTATTCCTGTCAACTATAATAAAAACAATATAACAATTTAATAAACTTGCTTAACATCATAAATCTAATCTAAGACTACCAGGTATAAAGGCTTTTGACCGATTTAGCTATATTTCATATATGGTCTATAGATCTGCTTGAGAAAGCTAAAAATGCTAAAATTGAATCTTTATCTAAGAAAGATTATCCTCTCTTTTCAGTTAGTACATGGATTTTGGGTTTGTTTGTTTTAAGAGATAGGGCTACATTGAGATCAGACTGGACTTCAGGGCTCAAAGGATCAAGTGACCCTCCTACTTCGGCTCCCAAGTATCTGGAAATACAGGTACACACCACCACACCTGGCTAGTATGTGTAGTTTTGATACGATTATCTTTATTTGAAAATAATAAAAGTCACCATTTCCAAGTAGGGGTCTACCTCGATTAAGTCTATCAGCACCATTTTTCCAGGTACATGTGCTTACCTATGTCTGTGTCACATTTTGGAAATTCCCATATTTTGAACTTTTTGATTATTATTAATATTACACCTTTCATAGTGATCGGTGGTCTTTGATGTTACTACAATAATCATTTTGGGCCACCACAAACCATGCCCATGTAAGATGGCAAACTTAATCACTGAATGTTGTATGTCTCCTGACTACTACCAATCAGCCATTCTCCATCCCTCTTCCTCTCCTCAAGCTTCCTATTCCCTGAGACACAACAATATTGAAATTAGGCTAATTAATAATCTTACAGTGGAGGCCAGGCACAGTGACTCATGCTTGTAATTCCAGCACTTTGGGAGGCCAAGGCGGGAGAATTACCTGAGGCCAGGAGTTGGAGACCAATATGGACAAATAGAGAGATTCCATTTCCACAAAAAAATTTAAAAACAAGCTGGGTGTGGTGGTACATGCCTGTGGTCCTACCTCCTCAGGAGGCTGAGATGAGAGGATTGCTTGAGCCCAGTTCAATGCTGCCATGAGCTATGACCACGCCACTGCACTCCAGCCTAGGTAACAGAGCAAGAACCTTTCTCTTAAAAAAAAAAGAAAAAATTCACAATGTCCTCTAAGTGTTCAGAGTTACAAAAATCAAACATTAGGAAGGTATGTCAAAAGCCAAGATATCCCAAAAGCTAGGCCTCTTGCACCAAACAGCTGGCCAAGTTGCACATGCAAAGAAAAAGTTCTGGAAAAAAATTAGAGTGCTACTCCAGGCCAGGTATGGTGGCTCAGGCCTGTAATCCCATCCCACTTTGGGAGGCTGAGGTAGGAGGATTGCTTGAGGCCAGGAGTTTTAGAACAGCCTGGGCAACATAGCAAAAACCTGTCTCTACAAAAAAACACTTTCTAAAATTAGCCAAGTGTGGTGGCACGTGTCTGCGCTCCTAGCTACTTCGGAGGCTGAGGCAGGAGGATCATTTGATCCCAGAAATTAAATGCTGTAGTGAGTTATGATCATGTTACTGCACTACATTCTGTGCCCTATCACTTTAAAAAAGAAAGAAATGAAAATATGTAGAAGAAATCACTAATCTGTGAAAAAGTTCCATGTTGCTTTTACATTTAAAAAAAAAAAAACTTGTCTCTTACTCTCCCATTCAAATTATAACTAAATATAACAGTTTCTAACCGGTCAATCACATTAAATATGACAACCAATGAAACTACTGATACTGGGCCCCTGCATTAAATGTTTTCCTTCAAATAGCTAACTTTATGACAATATTTATAATTCACTTTAAGTTTCCAGGATATAAGATTTATAAGATTTTTTAATGTGTGGATATGATCAAAAACTAGTTGAGAGTTATTTTTTAACGAAAATAATAGATTTTCCCCCTGGTTTTCTTCACTGATGTGTTCATGCAGTTGCAATTCACCATCACTCACACACCATAATCAAGAAAAATAGCTAAGGCAAGCAAATAAAAGTTACTTAAGGGGAATTACATAATTCTATTTACTTACTCTCCAGGGCCTCCACAATAGCAGTAACACTGCTGGACATTGGTTTTATGACCTGCATCCCACTCAAGGTCTGCCACACTATAGGGTAATGTCTGCTTCATGACTTGCAATGCTTTGGCATTTGGTCCTTTTTTAAGCGCACCACCCCTCTACATTAGAAGAAAAAAAAAATGTGAAAGAGTGAAGGCTAAACTTTTAAACACAATTCTATACTTTAAAAATGACTCTGACACTTCTGGAGAAGTTTCCATTCCAAACTTTTACCTTATCACAAACTGTCTGATTAATAATAATCTCCATTTTTCTTTCCTTCTTTCAAATTACTACACTAATTCTCATATTACTATCACCAAATAAGTGAAAGCATTGTTTAAAAAATCAATTAAGTATCATTAGTCAAATAAACACTTTCCACCTAGCATTCATTGCTCATTTCATTCAAACAAACTTCCAGTGTACACAATCATTACGTTGATAATATCTTACAAATTCCATCAGGGCTTTAGCCCAAAACACTTAAAATATACCTTTGTTGTTGTTGCAAAAACACACTGTCGACAGAGCCATTTTTCATCTGAATCAATCACACTGGAATCAATATGAGGTGTGTGACACAACTGATGATATCCTTAATATCAAAAAAAGCATAAAGCAAATTCTATTTCATTAATACTTTCAACACAGTTTCAAGAATGCATTTTAGTATTATCATTTCCTACATTAATATATTTACAATTAATAAGCAGGATAATAATTTCAAATTATCAATGTAAAGTATTTTTAGCCATTAATCTTCAACATAGGCATTCAATATGTAACAACTTTTCCCCAAGATTAAAAGAAATCAATGTTACCTTGGCCACACTTGTCACATATAACCATTTCATTGGGAGCTTCTGAATACTCTTCTTGACATATTGTACAGACCATTTCCCCACTTCCAGTGGCTCCTAAAATATTTAAAACACATTAAAAAAGAGAGTCATAAAAAATTCCGTGTAACAAAACTACCATTATGACTCAGTGGGCAGCACATATGGACAATGTATGCTAAGTAGATCACAGTGCTTCACAAGACAAAGTACACAAAATGGTATCTCTCTGCTCTGTGTTCTTTCTACCTTTAAGAATTTAATCTGTTTTTTGGCAGAAGGCATAATTTAAATTGCTCTCAGGCAGCTTCCCTTATTACTCATTTCTTATATTCCCACTCTCAAAGGTAAAGGTAGAGGTTAGAAATGGACAACAGTAGGTAGAGGAGGTTTGTGAATACTAGAGCTACTTTATAGAATACATATATATTCATGTACATGCATTAACTATCCTACACAACTAGTACTATGAAATTAAAAAAAAAAAAACAGCAAGGAAGATATGTAAACACCTCTTTTTCCCTGAATTCAGAGCATTTCCTTTTACAATTTATTAAACAGGTTGAACACCAATTATTTAATCTTCAGCTTCTGAAATCTGAAAACACAGTATCCAATAATGCAACCTAACAAAATCCCATTGCAACTAAATTTAAGGATCCTACAATTATTAATTACATTATTTTAGCAGAACAAGTAAATCATTTCTTCCTTAAACATTTTTATTCTAAAAAAAATTGTCATACAAAATTTAAAATATAATTTTACTACCCTAACACATAATCATTTCCAGTATTCTCGTCTATTTCAATAAAGTCAAATTCACACAATGCACACATTTTACGTACATAACAAAAATGAAAACCTAAAATGTTGTGTTATGAGCCAAGCATTGTGTAGGCTCTTGATATATTTTGCTTAATTCTACAACTAACTTATGAATATATTATTTATAGAGAAGAACTGAGGCTCAGACAAAGTAACTAACCCAAAGCCCCTTAGAAAACATCAAGACTAGGATTTAGAGATGTGCCAAAATCCATATTCTCTCCACTACAAGATGCTTCATCAATACTATGTAAAATTTCTTCTATCAAAAGCATTTTTCACACAGCCAGTTTTTAAAATTGTAACTTCCAACAGCCGCATAGTATTACATCTAATGGAAAGAATACAATTTACTTAATTATTACTCTACTCTTGGACATACAGGTTACCAATTGTTATTCTTTTTTGGGGGGTGGAGATCTGTCTTTTGTATTTTCGCTATTTGTTTGTTTTGGTCTCTCATCCTCTTTCTCTTGCTTTGCTGGTTTCCTTTTATTCTTCCCCTCAGACAAGGTCTTGCTGTACCATCCAGGCTGAAGTATAGTGGCACAGTGACAGCTCACTGCAGCCTTAACTTCCCAAGCCCAAGCAATGCTCTCACCTCAGCGTCCCAAGTAACTGGAACCACAGGCATGTGCCAACATGCCTGACTGATATTTTTTTGTTTTGTTTTGTAGAGACAGGATCTCCCTACATTGCCCAAGCTGGTCTCAAATTCCTGGGCTCGAGCAATCCTCCTGCCTCTGCCTCTGCCTCCCAAAGCACTGGGATTACGGACATAAGCCACTGCACCCAGCTGTTTGCTTCTTAGCAGACCTTATTGAAGGTGGCCTCCCATAGCTTCTGGGTTTATGGTTCCGGTCATGAGAGCACCCAGATTAAGCCTGGGACCTTTCCGTGAAAATTTACAATTCCCTGGAAATGGAGTGATAGCCCCCTCTTAAGGTAGGTGCCTGACCTGACTCTCACTGTAACTACCTGTACTAATGAAGGGGAAGGTAAATCCTCAGAAAAGGGGGTAGTAACCCAAGAAGCAATCCTGAGGAAGCTAGAAATTAACTTTTACTTGTGAAATCAAACATATATGTATTTTTTAACCACCAAGTTTACAAGCACCTTCCTATATAGCTTAGTAATCTTCTATAGTCTCCCTTACTCCAAATCCAGTTGACTAGAAAGTCCTCACCGTTTAATATTAGAAATAGCAAATTTTTTGTTCTTTTTAAAATAAAGCTCAAGGAACATTTTTCATCTAGTTTTTAAAAATTATTTCTCAAAAAAATAATAAACTGCTAGAAATGAGTCTATTAGATAATCATAAACTTTGTTTGCATTTAATGCAAATGCTAAATAACCAAAATAGAAATTTCCACTGCCACCAGCAATGCAACAGTACATCATTTCACAGAAACCAAAATAGTATTAGATGCTAAGATTTAAATCCCTTACATTTATCCAATAGTTGTAACATGATATATTTCACCCTGTTGACTATTAACATTCTTCTTTATGTAAAATTTTTAAAAGAATCTCATTAGATATATATAATTTATTAAATTATTTTGATACATATTATTAGCAGGTTTCTTACAGAGAAGAAAACTACTAAACTGACTCCTCACTAAAACATGACATAATGCAGTTTTCAGATTAACTTATTTATTTCTATAGCAACTGCAAGTTTCCTGTGTGCTACTATCAAGGTGCTATGAAGAGTTAAATGACCACAGCAATCCTTTGTAATTCCAGGAACAGCAAAAGGAACCAGTTAAGAAAGAACAACCACAGAACATTAAACTGACATACTGGGTTCAGCAGTTGTAGAACAGCAAAGTACCCCTCAAGCAATAACTTTCTAACTCTACATAACATTAGTTTTCTTCTTTTCTGCCAGTTTTAAAAGCAAAGAAGGGGAAGTAGAAAGGAGAAAGTGGACAAAAGGACAGACAGACCTATTACATTAAATCCACAGGAAACTCCAAAAGATCTTTAAAAGTGGAAAGAAATACATAACTAATGGAAGGGGAGTAAAAAGCAGCATAACATGTTTCAGTGCTATTAGAGAGACCCACGTTTACAAAATAAAGAAAAAGGAATAATTTTGTGTGCAGGGTAATAAGATCTGCTCAATATTAGTAGTAGTGTTGGAGATCTCCTATCCCTTTACATCTTATGATTCACACTGTTCTCACTGGCTCTTCGATTTCAGATTCAAAACATAACTTTAGTCCTTTGAACTTATCAGTCCAGCAACCATAAAAAGTCTATCTAGAAAAACATTTTACCAGAGTAACATTTTACCAAATAAATTACCAGAGTAATTTATTTCATTTCCCACCTAAGCCCTGAGTACCAATTATACAGATGGTAATTAGAACATTCCAATTCCTTTAACAAAACTTTTTTTATTCTTTAAGAAATATTAGGAGTGAAGTCAAGAACTAAAACACAGCAGAAACCTACCATAAAACTGAACTTGGGATTCAAATATAAAATTCAATCATTAAACACTTTAGCAAGGTGTCTACCCTTTAGGGAGAAAATTTATCTCTTTTCTACAAGAATATACAGAACACAGGTCTTGGTGTAGGCCTATTAATCCAGCAAAAGGAAAATCAAAAGTAGGGCTTTAATGAACTACTAAAATACTCAGGTTTTTAGTAAAGATTAATAATTTTTAAAAGTACTTCGCATGAAAAAGTTACTTGGAAAAACATCTATATTTAGCAGACTTTAAAAGCATGAAACAGTCATAGTTTCTAATAATAGAAATCATCCCAAGAAGCATACCTATAACCAAACCAAGGCATACTTGTATTCATTTTTACTGGCACACGAATGTAGCCTCATTTTCCCATCTAAACATAAAAAAACCCATGTAACTAAATGGTAATTTTAAACCATTTTTATTAATGAATATTTCTATTATTCTAAAGCAGTTTTATATGTCCTAATTTCCCAAATCATCTGACAAATAGTATGCTCGCAATAAATAGTTGCTTTCTACAAATATAAGCAAGTAACAAAGTAACAGTTAAATTGAATCCCAAACTGTTACTTAGATTAGTTACTAAAGATTTTTCTTCAAAGTTCTTAGAAGGGTCTTTTTTTTTTTTTTTTTTT